CCCGACGCTTTCGAAGGAGAAAAAAGAAGGAGGACCCAAGGCCGATGCCGCCGCCCCTGCCCCCGCTGCCGAGGAGCCCAAGGCTGAGGAGCCTGCTCCCGCTGCCCCCTAAGTTTTCCTCTCTCGATACCACTTCTCTCGTCTTGGCTCAACCATCCCCAAGGTGAAATGATGACTCCGGTGGTCTACTGGGCTCCGCACGATGCCACAGAAGAAGGCGCCGAGCGGATCCTGGCAGAAGGCTAGCTGGTGATACATGCGATTCGTCTTTGGTGCTCTCGGCAAGGGGCATGGAGTGATAGGTGTTTCCGGACACGGCGGGGACTTGGGAGATGCGCTTGGCCGCATGGGTTTTGGTATGGGACCTCGCGGGGTTCTGGGACGTGGGAGGGGGGCATGGGACATCACTCTGGGGAGACCTCACCTGCCGTTTGGCCAGGCGTCGTTGAACCAGCAGAAAGATGACCCACGCTGCCCATTGCGTTTTTATCACTTTCCCCCGCTTGCCTCGATATTTTCCCCTTTCCTTCCCAGCCCGAATAATCCACACTTGATTTCCCCTCAGCCCCCTTTTGCCCTGAGTGTCCTAGATTACGGCTCTCTCTTGATTTCTTGTTGCGGTTTTCCTACAGTGGTCCTCCAGTTGTCGCTCGGTCTCGCGAGGAGAGGAACGTGTTGCTCCATCCCCACCCCCACCCCCCCAAATGCCCGTGTCCATTACGTCTCAAAGACAAAGAAAAAAACACAAAGTTCATTCATGTTGGGTTATTGGTGACGGTGATTACAATGTCATGTGTGGATGCCGGGTAGATGCGACCAGGGCGGATGGCAGACGAGCACGTGATGTGTGGCTTGATGCGTGAATTGGCTGCGAGATGGAAATGCACGACTGATGATGAGTACAAGTATCCTTTGTCGTTGAAGCGCAAGGAAATGAGAAGAATGGCTTCCTTGCAACAGTAGGGACATTCCCGGAAGAATGATAGAGCAGTTTTAAATTTCATAAATCATTATCATATCGTGCCTTGGTCTACCGTCTTTATGAAGTAACACTTCATGTTTAGGTTCTCTATGACCCTGACTGCAATGCTCGGTTGGACAAAACTACTAGACCCCCTGCCGCTTCGCCCTCTCCTTCCTCTCAAGTAGCTCCCTCGCCCTCGACAGCCGAGCATCCCCCTCTCGCGCCGCCTTCACTTTCAACCCTTCCAGCCCGGCATCGTCAGGATTGGAGCCCGTCGATGCGCTGGAGGGATTATACTCGGACGCGGCACGCCCCGCCGGCGCGCTGACGGCCGCAACAGCCGCCGCCGTGACGCGCGACGTCTTCCTCCTCTCGGCCGACGGCGTGCCGGCCCCTGCTCGCGTTCGCGGCGGCCGTCCTGGCGGGCGTCCGCTCGAAGCTCCACTTGCGCAGCCTCATCTTTCGAAACAGCGACGACGACGAGACTTGCTGCTTCAGAGGCGCGCCGCCGTCCCGCCCGCCCTGCCGCTTGGGGACGTCGTCGTCGTCGTCATCGTCGTCTTCCGTGTCCGGGCCGTGGGGGCCCCCCGGCTTGGCTGCATCTGGGCCCCCTCGTCCTAGACCGAGCCCCCTGCCGGCCCCGGGCTTGGGCGGCCGCCCCCTTTTTTCGCGGGCGTTCAGGCAGAGCGAGGCGATGCGGGAGAGGGCGGCGCCGACGGACGAGGGAGGCGGCGCCGGCCGAGGCGTGCGGCGGCTGCTGCTGCTCGTGCTGCTGCTCTTCCGGGGTGGGATCTGGCGTGGCCGGGGCGGCAGCGCCGAGGCGGGCGCAGCGGGGGCATGAGTCCGGGCGCCAGTCGTCGTCCGGTGGCGGGGGCGGCGGGTGCCGGCGGTAGGTCCAGGTGCCGTGCCAGAAGTTGGTGTGGGCGGCGAGAAAGGTCGAGGTCGGGTGCGGGAGCGGCGTCGGGGGGTCGGTGCAGGTGCAGGTTGCGGCGAGGAGGTTCGTCGTGCGCCAGGTGTTGATGCGCTCGAGCGTTGCTGCGGCCAGGGGCGTGTAGAGGGGGGGCTGTCTTTTCGGCGTGGGCGCCGACGGCTCCATTGTTGTCTGTGAGGAGGATGTGTCGTCCATGGCGGCCAGACGATGTATGTGTGTATGAGCGAGAGAGAGAGAGAGAGAGAGAGGGCGGGGGGGGGGAGGGAGGGATGGGAGACAGATTGAATGGCGACGAATGCGTGAGAAAGAGGGAGACAGGGAGAGCGCGAGAGATGAGGTTGAGGTGAGCAAGCGACGGCGACAGCGGCGGTAGCGCGTGGTGTCTGGGTGAGGTTGAGGAAATCAGAGTCCACTCCCAAAGTCTAAAAGCAAGTCGGTCGCCAGGACCAGACAACGCGAGGCCCTCTTTTGGGTTTGATCCCTTCCTCACACGCGAGGGGGAGCTAGCATGATATGCGCCCTGGACGCCCTCTCGAGAAAGAAACGACGCTGTCAAAGCTTGCGGGCGACTCAGCTCTCGTGCCCGAAAAAGAACAAGTGCGTGTCGCCTGTGCTGCTTTGGAATGATGAGACTGATAGCGCCATCCGATCCAGCTGTTTGGAGGAATGGCAAAAACTAAGTTTCGGAAGAGACTAAGTGCGGCACCTAAAAGGCGAGCGAGACCTTTCATCACACGCGTCCGCGTCGCACTTGGTTGGGCTGTTCAAGTCGCTGGCGTCTCCGAGTCATGAGGATTGAGGGTCGAAATCGTCGAGGCACGCGAAAACTAGTATAGTATTTGCATCCATCACTTCGTAAAGTCTTTGACCCGCTTGACCGTTGCAAGACCCCCCCCCCCCCCCGCCCAATGCCACACCAGACCACCAGGTTGCTCGTGGGAACACCCTTCTCAAAAATAAAAAACAATATCGCCACCCTGTCTTTTGTTCACGTCTTCTGTTCGTTCCGACTGTCCAGCTATCTACCGTCTGTGGCTGCTGGGCGTCAACGTCTCCCAGCTCCCCGCACCACGTGGTTCGTCATCGCCCAGGGCATCCAGCAAGTCAACCGGTGCCTTCTTCTGTATCTTCGTCGGCACTTGTGGTTTAGGCTTGGGCCGGTTCTCGCCTGCTCGCATCCCTGGCAAGGCCATCGCCCCGGCCATCGGCTGTTTCCTCAGCACGCCGCTGGCAGGCGACGTCGGCCCGCCCTGGCCGTTCTGCGCGACAGGCCCCGTCGCTGCCCGCATAGGAAGCTTTGGCTTTTCATCGCTCAGAATACCATGCCCATTCTTCGTAGATGACGGGCTTGCCGTCGGCGACGTTGAGCTCAGGTGTAATGGCTTTCTTGCCACGGGTGGTGCTGCCTTTCCACGTGACTGTTGCGAGAGCTGAGAGAGGTCCGAAAGAGCCGATGACGGTCGCGGCGGTGGCGGAGGCACAGCCTGCGTTTTGTGTAAAGCCGACATGGAGGCCGACTGGTTCGAGCTGCCCGTAGGCCCAGCTGTCTGGCGCCTCGGAGGGGGAGGAGGGGGTGGTGTCTCGGCTCTCTGCATCGAGTTTGAGCTACCATCGACCCACGTACTGTTTCGTGGCGGCGGAGCTGGGAGAGTGGAAGGGTCAAATGGTGGCGGAAAGCGCCCTGCGCGCCGAGGGCGCCGTTGATGTCAAGAGGTCGGCCGGAGTGTTCACATGCTCGTAGAGCGACGTTGACAAGTTCGTCGAGAAGGACGAAACGCGCGATCTTGATACCGTCACCCAGTCAGGTTCCGTCGTCACGCCGAACGGATTGGCCGGTCTGTTGGGGTTCAAAACCATGCTCTGCCCGTCTGCCCCCGGAGGTGGCGGCTTCACGCCTGCCCTCGCCGGTTGCTTGTTGTCGAGCCACCACTTTTGCCGGTCGGAGCTGGCAGGTGGTAGTCCGGGTTCGATAGCGTCGTATCCAATAAGGTCTTCGTCGTCCTCGTCCTCAGTATCAAGACTAGTCGAAGGGTCCCCAACTTCCTGCTTCCGACGCAAGTATAACTCTTGGCTGATCTGCTCGCGGTGAGACTCGTCGACAATGTTGACAGTGCATTGGAACGTTGCGTAGACTGGCCGATGGTCTGAAAACCTCAGCGGTGCTGAGTTGTAGCACAGCTGGCGCAGGTTCTGCCCCTTTCGGAGAATACGGTCGGTCCAGGCCGGAATTCTTGCCTTTTCCCTACGCACAGTGAGCGAATGCTTCATACCCCGATTTCATGTGACCACTTACGAAGTATCGTAGTCGTCCGTCCCGAGATCGAACTTGTAGGTGGGCAGAAACGTGATGCGCGCCTCTGAATAGAAGGGAAAGGATAGACCAGCTACCATTTGTAGATTCAGCTGGAAAATGTGAGTAAACTGTGGCAATGAACTCTGAGCGGTGCAGACATACCTGGTCGTTCTCGTACAGCGTAGCCAGGTCCTTCTTCTTGACGAGAGACCGGGCAGCATCAGGACCCAGACCGATGCGGTAATTGAAATCACCAAGCCATATGACCGTGTCTGTGTGGCTGTCAGCAACACGTTGCGTGTAGTGGCATACCGCGTGACTGACCATGATCATCAATGCCGCGGTTGCGCTGAAACCTCAGACCGTCATGGATAGTCGCGTAATCGCGGTTGCGTTCGTCATAATTAGAAAACCCGGCTGCTAGGTGAGCCGTGACAAAGCAAATGGGGGTGCTGGCGTAGTCGAACCGAATGGCGACCGCGCCCTTGTTGCCGGCCATGCCAGACATTCCCGTCTTCTTCACACTACCTTCGACATTCTTAATGCTGCTGAGCGAGGATGCCTTGACGAAAATGCACAACGCGGCACCGACAAGCTGTCCGCTCCGGAGCAACACGTAACGCTCGCCACCGGCTTTTTCAAAGTGGCTGTTGAGTGTCCGCTTCACGGCCTTCTCCCACAATCGTTTCCGTGTGGGATCGCTGTTCATGATCTGCTGGGGGCTCAAATCGACAATTTCTTGGAAGCCAACGGCTACAATCTCGGGCTGGATTGGGCCCAGCTCTTTGGGGCAAAGCCAAGACGATAGATCGTGGTCGATGCCTTGGGTCCGCCCATTGAGATTGAAAGTGCCAACCCACCTGACTTGTGTGTCAGTATCAGGACCTGGGCATGATGCATCGAACTCACATGTTGATATCCTGTGTTGAGGAGAACTCTGCGCTCCTCTTGCTCATCTCGGCTGCGACAAAGTCACTGATCGGATCGTAAATGTGCATTGGCGTCTGGCCCACGAGCCGGCCGAGCAGACGATCGATGGTCGTTTGCTTTGCGGCGTCAGTAAAGTTGTTGTGGTAAAGCCTCTGCATCGATTTGCGCATATCAGCAACGGCGCCTGCCAGGGACATTTTGCCAGTGCGGGTATATGATGACTTGAGGGCACCGGTGCCTGCATAAATCTTCGACAAGGCATCGCCATTGTCCGCCCAGAGGGTTGAATGTCTCATCCAGAAATCGGACGTCGCGTACTCTCCTCTTTGGCCCAGGAACGACTCCATGGCCATGGAGGAGATCAGTGTCTGGATCAGGTTGGTTCTGTCGAGGCAGTCTAGACAGTTGGTGCGGAAAACACCTTCTTGCTGGAGCAATACGACCATGCGAGGGGCTCCGTTGACCGTTGTCAAGCTGCGATTGTCATCGGCCACATCGTCGGTCTCCTCGGCGAGATAATAGGCAAAGCCCTCGGTCGAGTTCTCAATATATCTTCTGATGTTCCTAGCCGACTCGTAGCCAGCAGCACCTCTCGTCTCCGCATGAAAGTCATAGTGCGTCTCCCTCAACAAGGCGTGATCTTGAGACTGATTCTGGCCGACCTGGCTCAACGGGGAATGGCGCACACCGTTGTGGTAGAGCTTGCTGAGCTGGGCTTCCCCGGGCTTCTCCTCGCTGAGCAGGTTGACTACGTGAACGGCACCGTAAGCATGCTCGAGGTCTTGGAAATGTTTGTTGAAGGCAGGTTGCGTGCCCTCTGGCGACCTGGTAATGCTGATGTTCTGCTTTCCTGGTAGAAGATCTGCCGCCTGCTCCCAAAACAGGGGCACAGACCCTCGAACCTGGCTGAACGAGAAGAGAGTCCCTCTAGGGCTCCAGTAGGTCGTTTCCGTTTCTACAAAATTGGCTACGTTGCCGTCATCGTCGATGCCGCGGGAGTTGAACCTCGTGCCAGCCCTTCGACACGAGAGTCGCGATATGACTGTCAGATACGAAGGGAGGCCTGTACTCGTTGTTTTCAGAGGAGCACTGATCTGCGGGATGGCGATGGTACGGCAGAAACCCCTGATGGCGGATGTGAGGATCCTCGATGAGTCAAGGGCCTCTCTCTCGTGGGGAATGAGACGTGATCTGAATTGGACCAGGGGGCTAATCATGAAGGAGTTCCAGAGGAACGAGTCGTCAAAGTTGTCGATGTCGAAGGCGGCCGAGTTCACGGACCGATCTTGCAGCCGGTTGGTGACATCAAAGTCGGTGCTGTAGTAGAAAGAGCCATTGCTCAGTAGTTTCCTGAGGTCATGGCAAGGGTGTTCGACCGTGATCTCTCGGCGACTCAGGTTCTGACCATAGCCGGCTGGTCCGTACACGGATGAGGCATCGGACAGATCGGGGTCCAGATTGTCAATGGAAACGACATCGTCCCAGCGGTCGCTGTTGAGGCAGAAGAAGGCAACGCTGGAGATTTTCTCGACCGTCTCGCCAGGCCGAATGGTCGCAACCCGTGTGGCGTGCGTGACGACAGACAAGAAGACATCTCCATCGACCGAAATCAAGCCCAGTGTCCCAAATATCGGCCGCGGTATCAGACTGCGATAGTCGGAAAGCGTGTTCTTCGACAGTGGCGCAAATTCTGCCATGCATTTGGACACGGGGGTCTCTGTGCCTGAAGTTCGGGGTCGATGAGGTTGCACTTGAGGAAGATGGTGGCTGCTGCCATTGCCTTGGCTGGTGAGATCGTGGCTGGATGTATGACTGAAGATGAGGGCGTGGGAGTTGGATACAATGGCGACGGATCGATGCGGGTAGTCGCGTATGTAGAGCTGGCTCGACTTCTCTGGCGAAGGGACTTCTACTCCCCACGAGCCTCCGCCTCCGTGTTCCATCCTGAAAAGGCCAGCTGTCGCGAGATTGGTGGTAGGGTCAGAGTGACGAGGTGGACATGTCGGAGCAGGAATTGATCAAGAGGGGGCAGTTGTCGTCGCGCGGGTAGGCGGGTTTCCGACCAGCGGCTTCGGTTCGTGGGTACGATTCGATGAAAGTCGCAGTGATCGGTCGAGGTCAAAGAGCTCCAGGGTCGTGCATTCAAACGCATAAGTCTATTGTCGCCATGCTGACGAGGAAAGAGAACATTGACATGAATTTGGTTCGGACAGGCTACGAAGGCAGGCCTGGAGGCTGACTACCAGGGAGCTTCCAGCTGTAGGTACCTCGAGGTATGACGTTGGGGGGCCATTTCGCCCGGGCTCGCTGGGCTGTCCATGAGTGGGTGGGGGCCTGTACCACGATGACCTGCCAGGCCAGTAGTGGGTGCCCCAGACAACTGGCACAACATTCACACCTGGGGAATACATTCTCAAAATGGCCCGAGTGGTGATCTGAGTGTGATACTGAGACCAGTAGATGCAATTGCCATTGCTTTCACTTGGAGAAATCATTTTGGCACGGCCAACGTGTAGCACCCCAGCCACTTTGCCAGCTGTCAAAAACGGACATGCCTGCAGCCTGGAAACCTTCGACTGGCTGGTACGAGAACCTTCAGCGTGGTAACGATGAAATCCTCGCAAAGTCAAGTAACGATACAAAGAAGCACGATAGGCAACGTCAGCGAGGCACTCGTCATCTGAACCCGTCCAACGCAAGTGCGCGCGTCTACGAGGTTGCGGGCATTTTTTTCTCTCTATTAGAACAGTCGGACACGACTGCATCGTTCCACATCCGTTGACCAAGCACCTGCAACAGTTGGGAAGAGATGTGCGTTGTGTTGAAAAATGAGAGTGTGAAGAACCGTCTAGCAATCTGGGGTTTGGGAAGGAGGCTCATGCGGGAGCAGAAGAAAAGGTGGCTTCAGATTTCGAATTGAGATCATGCTACCCATTGGGTAGCGTTCATCCTCTTCCTATCATGTTGATTTAATGAATATCATCACGAGCCTGGTACGAAAGAAGAAGAGGCACCACGAGATTTTTTTTCGACGTCGAGGATATCTCCAGTTTGCTGACATAACAGTGTTCTGGGGCCCACTCCTTGTGAACCAATAAGGGTCGTCGCGTCATCGTCTCAGTATCTAGGTACGCTGAGTTAATACGAGGCCTGGCCTGGCCGCCCCACTCAAAAGTTTGACCCCCTTGTCAATCTCAGTGGTCGTTCCGCCAGCAGAAGCTCCGACGCGCGCTGCAATCAACCAAGGATTATCCCCAGCCTTCTGCGCGCGCCTTCCCTGACGGCGTCCAACGTTCAGCCTTTTCAATCCATCGCTCCATCGCCGACCCAGCTCGCTCTACTCTGCGGCATAGCTACCTCGATCCATATACACGACCGCGACATTGATCGATAGTGCGACTGCCTGTGATCGCTTGGGAGCGTCCTTATCATGGCCGATTACGACCACTATGGTAGCTCTGAGGAGCATGCCGAAATCAAGAAGCTAGAGGCTGAGGTCGTAAGTCGCCACACACACATTTCATCCTCGCCCTCCAACGCCTGTTCTCTGTCCTGACCTCGTGTGTACAGGAAGCCGATCCGGACAACTTCGAGACCTGGGAGAAACTCATTCGCGCGTGCGAAGGGCTGGAAGGAGGCCTCAACCGCAACTCGAGCCCGCAAGCCCTGGCTGCTCTTCGCAACGCCTTTGATGGCTTCTTGCTGAAGTTTCCGCTCCTCTTCGGCTACTGGAAGAAATATGCCGACCTCGAATTCAACATTGCCGGCCCTGAATCCGCAGAGCTTGTGAGTTGACACGGCTCTGTCCATCCCCCACCATCCATGCGGAAGGCCGCGGCTGACGGGACGTTGCAGGTATACGAGCGTGGATGCGCCAGCATCACCAATTCTGTCGACTTGTGGACGGACTACTGCTCCTTCAAAATGGAGACGACCCATGTCCCGCAACTCGTCAGGGAGTAAGTACTGTGTGCATATGTGGTGGTGGTGGTTTTCCTTCCCCTTGCCCCCCCTCATCCCTTAATACCGTCAACACGACAGCACGCCGCACGGCCGCTCAAACCCCTCCTCATGAACTTGCAAGCCTGGAGTGTCACCATTGGCCCCATCATTGCCAGCCGGTGAGAAATGCCAACAGACGCCCCCAATGCTGGGATGCCATCTTACACCATGTACCAGGCTCTGTTGATTTCCACATGAATCTGTGGCTGAACTGATATGACCACTCATTCACTTCACGTCGCGTGACTTTCTGTGCGCCCTGGCGCACCATGGCGGCTCGAGTTGGAATCATTGCATTTTTGTCACCAATAACCCGCTCCTGTACATGCTTCCTTCCCTTCCCCGTTGCCTTGCCGATCCCTCCCCAGCGCCCTGATCGATCGCTGACCAACACTCTCAGGCTCTTTGAGCGTGGTGCTACCCACGTAGGCCTGGACTTCCTGGCCCATCCCTTCTGGGACAAGTACATTGAGTATGAGGAGCGCCAGGAGGCAGAGGACCGCGTCCTCGCCATTCTGCGCCGTATCGTCACCCTGCCGCTTCACCAGTACTCAAGATACTACGAGAAGTTCCGTCAGCTCTCGCACAACCGTCCCGTCTCTGAACTGGTCGACGATGACGTACTCACTGCGTACCGCGCCGAAGTTGAGGCACCGTACGCCGGCACGCAAAGGCCTGAGCTCGAGACTGAACGCGACATCCGCGGGAAGATCGATGCCAGGTACTATGAACTTTTCACACAGACGCAGAACGAGGTCAGCCGTCGCTGGACCTACGAGTCGGAAATTAAGCGCCCTTACTTCCACATTGACGAGCTCGACTATCAGCAGCTTGCCAATTGGAACAAGTACCTTGATTTCGAAGAAGCAGAGGGCGACCATGCTCGCACAATTTTCCTGTACGAGCGATGTCTGGTGACGTGCGCTCTGTATGACGAATTCTGGTTCCGCTACGCCAGGTGGATGTCTGCGAAGCCTGACAAGGAGGAAGAGGTGCGCATCATCTACCAACGCGCCACTACGATGCACGTCCCCATCAGCCGGCCCGGCATCAGGCTGCAGTTTGCCTACTTTGAGGAGAGCTGCGGACGCATTGATGTGGCTCGCGACATCCATGCCTCTATCCTCATCAAACTGCCGGATTGCATCGAGGCCATCACCTCCTGGGCGCACCTGCAGCGCCGCAACAGCGGTCTGGACGCAGCGATCGAGGTGTTCAAGAACCAGATCGACTCTCCGCACGTCGACATCTTCACAAAGGCAGCCATGGTCACAGAATGGGCGTTCTTGCTGTGGAAGGTGAAGGGAACTGACGAAGAGGCTCGCAATGTCTTCCTGAAGAATGTGGACTGGTACGCCGACAGCCGCATCTTCTGGGACAAGTGGCTTGAGTTTGAGCTGCAGCAGCCGACCAGCGCGGAGACTGAGGCTCTGCACGGTGAGAGGGTGAAACAGATATTCGACTCGCTGCGCAGCAAGAGCAGGCTTTCCCAGGCGTCGAAGAAGCAGCTGTCCCAGCTCTACCTGGAGTATCTGCTGCAACGGGGGGGTAAGGACGCCATGAAGCAATTCCTCCTTATCGACCGCGAGGTTTTTGGGTAAGTTCACATCAATCAGTCCACATAACCCCGAAGGCCACATGCTGACAATCATGATAGTCCTTCATCCATCTCCAAGCTCTCCCCACCGAACGCCAAAGAGAATGGCGCGGGAAGTGCGGATCTGGACGCAGCCACAAACGCGAAGGCGGAGGTTCGATTCTTCAACTACTACCAACTACACGGCGAGCTGGACGTCGAGAGGCAGGGCATGTCTCTTTCAACTGAGGGGGCTGGGAATCAGCGGTGGGCGGAGCAACTTTGCTCCCACACCTGGCGACCGATCGCGTCGGTCTAACGTTTAATGCTTTTCCTGTATCGGGTGTACTATAGCGGACGCTTGGTCCCAGCCGCTTCACGATGGATCGTGTTCAGAAAGGTAATAACAGGCAAAATGAAATAAGCAATGAATGAACTCTTATGAGGAAATCGTCACCGTGGCGAAAACGTGTTCTGGCTTAAGTGTCCTCTTGGCATCGGGGGGAGATCTGCGAGGTTTTCAAGGGCCGCTTAAGCAGCCTGCCTTGGACCTCTTCTTGGGTTCATCGCGCACATTGCCCTTCGCCTCGTGCCACAGGCACATTACGCGATGGAGCTTGCGTGCGCTCTAGAGCAAGACCATCAAGTGAACGCCACCCCTCGCGTCGGATCTTGTCAAAGCGGCATCGTCAGCGGAGGGAGGACTCTTCCGCCCGTCAGCACGCATGCAACTGCCAGGAACAAGGCAGGAGAACATCTAAAGTCATACCTATGCAGCGAGAGGGACTGCGCACAGCCTTCATGTCCCAGAAAAGCTCGCTCGAAGCTCTCCGCAGATGCCTCTCATCAATTCTTGTGGTGCCAGTTGATGCATTCAAATTGCTGCACCATGCGCTTTCCCTGCAAGTGTCTTCGAGCGTGGATCTCAAACCTTTGGGCAATGCCTGCATCTTGGGAAAACAAGGTACAGGGGCTCATCAAGCGCATGAAGAGTCTCACAAGCTTGCCGTTTGCGTTCATCGTATTGAGCTCATAGATCATGGACCATGAACGGTCTCAATATAAGTGATCCGGGTCCCAGGTTACGCATAGACGGACGGGAGATATAATGATTACTACCTACCTACACGCATAGACGGACGGGAGATATAATGATTACTACCTGCTTACATGCATAGACAGACAGGAGATATAATGATTACTACCTGCCTATATACATAGATAGATAGGAGATATAATGATTAATACCTACTTACATACATAGATAGACAGGAGATATAATGATTACTACCTACCTACATGCATAGATAGACGGGAGATACAATGATTACTACCTGCCTATACGCATAGACGGACGGGAGATACAATGATCACCGCCTGCCTACGGGGCTTTGATGTACAGCTGGAATGCACGTCCGAACAGGTCCTAGCTCCGCAGCAAGCTCTGGAGCGCGCTCAGCCTAAGCCCTCCTAGGCTTGGATGCAGAACCCCTGTTATCATTTTACGCCGCTTTGCGGCATACGTCGGATTGCAACACGCTCCATAAAGTCCGTTCCGATACCTCGTCACTTGTAGCATCGAGATGATGGCAGTCGCCATCGGCGAAAAGTCGCTACAAAAGCTCCTTGCTACCCTCACGACGGTGCTCCACCCATCGACCTATGTCTTCGTCACACTCCCACAGGCGGCGACTCCCCCTCCACTCTCCACGATACAGATGATCTTCCACGAGGCAGAAGGCAGCACGGTCATCATGAAACTGGAGGACGCCAAAGCGCGCGCTTTCGACTATGCTTTCCCGTCAAGAATGATCACGCTCAATGTGCATTCAAGCTTGGAAGCCGTCGGATTCCTAGCCGTCATCACAACCCGACTGGCCGCCACAGGCATGGGTGTCAATCCCGTCAGCGGATACTTTCACGACCATTTGTTTGTTCCTGAAGGGCGCGAAGCAGATGCCCTTGCGGTCCTTCAAGCTATCGCCGTCGAGAATCGTAACCTGGACACAGGCGAGGCCTCGTGAGCCTGTGTTTGCCCCCGGGCATACGGCGCTGATGAGACTGCGACCTCTGAGCCACAGTCCGCAGTCTATGAGCCTTATCCCTTTAGTTCCTGAATTTGGCCTCAGTACTTTACATGTTTGATAGCTGAGTGGTAGCAAATATATTGCTATTTAAAGGATAGCGAACTGAATATCTTTATGCCTGCATTACCTATGTTTCACAAATAAACCCACTTTCAATCATGTGCTGGGAATGCGGGGACAGAACTGGAAAGCGAGGCCTTGTTGAGATACTAGAATTGGTCAGCATGATTGCACCATCAGCCCTGGAGATGGCTTCATCCAACACCACTGCATATCAAGTCTTGGTGGCTGACCGTGGACTCTGGGACATCCATAGAAAGCTTCCGTCCGCCCTACGTTATCTTGCACGTGTACAGGTAGCATCACGAATGGTTCGCCACGTCGATATCGCGTGGCTGTCGATTGCTGATCCATCACATCACGCGTGGCATGCTTGTCATGCGGAGAATGTGCAGAGTTTCTCCTAGTCGTTCAAGACTCTTATCACTCACCAGTTCTCTGAGAGCTCGGCTTGTCGAATCCTCGCAGGGACGAGAGTTTATGCCGAAGCTCGGTATCCATCAAGGTTGCGGCGGGACACAGCAGAAAGCCATCTCCTCCCTAGCCGGCATGACACGGTCATCTCGTGCTGTGTTCGATTCATGTGAGGATTTGCTTAGAGCTCCTTGCAAACTGTATTCGACCTAGATCAACATTGAGGCCAAAATGCAAAGCAAAAGACACGCTCCGTGTTGTGGAGGCCTAAGAAACTCAATCACAGTGGGAGCTTTGATATTCGGCAACTCTTGTTCATGGCAACTAATTCCCACCAACGAAGTGTATGGAGGTGTAATTTTTTTAGTCTGGCTACACATTTCATCAACATGGGTTCCTTGCCATAGCATAGCCCATCCTCAAGGTCTTCTCGGAAGCTGCACACCCCTCATGGCTTGCAGACAAGCACTGGTCGGAATGCCAAGTATCGAGACGGACAGGCGATTTTATAGCCCTAGAGCACATTCAGGACGAAAGGGTTCTGCTTATCCGTCAAATCGCGGAACGTGTAGTCACCCTCATTGAGCAGGTGCCTATTCGTCTCCAAGAAATGCTTGCGCTTTCGGTTCTCCCAGACCATGTACACCAGGTTTGCAAGGTTGCAGCTCAGGGCGACTACCAGGGCGACAATGTTGGCCCTGAGGCCTTGTCGGTAAGGAGGCGTTGTGTACAGTTGAGGGCCGACGATGCCTGCAAAAGAGAAACAGTCAGTAGGTGAATCCGCAAAGGGAGACGTGCCGTGGACGGGTCTAGGCGATACTTACATCCCACAGAATAGGTGACGAACATGATGCCCTGCGCCGTGACCTTCTTGGTATGCCCGGCAATATTGCCAGAGATCGTTCCCATGCCCAGCAGAAAGCCGCAAGGGATGAAACCCAACATGACCCAGAATCTGCGCCGCGTCAGAATGAAGCGGTCGCGAGCCAGCAAACCACCAGGGATACTTACCCTATCATCAAAGCCCAACGCTCTTTCAGGTCAAAGGCGTACAGAATGGAAGATCCGACAATCGAGAAGGCATTGCACAGAACAGAGAGTGCTAGCCTGGAGTTGGGAATGATTGTGGCAAGTGTACAGAAGATGAGGAGGCCGAATAACTCGATGACACCGACAGGAATTTGCAGAAGGGTAGTCTGCAGGGCTGTGAAGCCGAATCCCCGGATCACGAGACTTTGAAACTAGATGTCGAAACACGATCAATCAAATGGGCTCATCTCTGCCCTTGTAGGGACAAAAAATGGATAGGGAGACTTACCAGACCAATGCCATTCAGAATGTTGCCAGCTCCCACGCCAAACGCAGCCAACCAGACTTTGGGGTCGAGCACAGCCTCAATGGCTTGGTCTTTCTTGAACTTCTTCGACTCTACGCCAGTGCCTACTTCTTGCATTCTTCTGAGAGCCACAACACGCTGACGTTCCGATAGAAACCAGGCGGTGGCCGGGTTCGATGGGAGTGCAAACCAGAGAACCACTGCCCAAACAACGGAGAGCGCACCGCAAATGATGAACGGGAACCTCCAAAGGCCAATATCAGAGTCGATGTGGCCCACACCGTAGGCAAAGAGGGAACCGGCAATGATGGCCAGGGGGCTCATTCCATACCATGCCATTAGACGGATTGGCTGTTCCTCGCGAGTGTACCACATGTTGGTAACGATGAAGAATGCTGCCAGCTGGATCGACTCTGCGGCCCCCAGGAGAAATCGTAGAGTGGCAAAACCTCCAAAATTCGATGCTGCGGCCATCAAGAAGGTGAACACACCCCATCCCATGACCTGCGACGCGAAGTATCTGCCAAGGGGCAGTCTCTGCAGGAGAAGGAGGGAGGGATATTGCCACACCAAGAAACCGAAATAGAAGATGGAGCTGGCCCAGGAGTATTGCGTGCCCTTCATTCCGAGATCTTCTCGCAAACCGTAGTTGGCCGCATAGTTGATGGTAGACTTATCCAAGTATTGCACAAATGCTGTGACCATCATGAGCCTAAAGGTGTGAGTTGATAAGGTTCTGAGCGTCTTCGCGGTTCTCGAGACGAAAACATGTACTTACGGTAGGAGGAAGAGGTCAATCCTGTTGCGGACATGTCTCTTCTCTTCGTCTGAAATATCCTCGTCTTTGTTCAGCAGATAATACTCTCGACCGACATCATCAGATGCCGATACACCTTTGAGGTCTGCATCTCATGTCAGCTACGTCGGACTATGCATCGGGGAACATATCAAATACTCTCGGCATCCTGCTCAGGAGCGTCGGCAGGTCTTTGGATGATGTTCAGCGAGCTGACTCCAACATCAGCTGCCAACTTCTCTCCACTAGGATCGGATGCCATGGTCTTCTCGATACTGTATGGACCGTTTTGACTCGAAAAAGTTGATCTTGCGTTATAAGTCTGGCACCGGCAGTGGTAGTAAGAGGCCAAAATACAGAAGTAGTTGCCTATGAGATGGAATCTGCGTCGGACATCATCGCATCTTCTATCAAACATTTTAATGCTTTTCTTCTATTCAGAGTCGATATATTTCAGCATGTCGCCATAGCTTCAATGTCCATGGTTATCAGTGTCGCCATCGCAGCATAGGCCGACCGAGATCCAGGAGGATGTTTAGCCTTGTGGGGACTGAGCCGACTTCCCGTACGGAAACCCTCCGACTTCATCCACTTATCAACGTGGGCTGAGCCATCGATTAGCACGTCATTGTATCAGCGCGACTTCGGAAGGACTTTGGTCAGTGGAAGTAGGGTCGCATCAAAAGCATTATCACGGTTCAGTAATCTTGTCCGACTCGTTGCCTGCCGCGATTGGCGATGCTGTGCCATAGCGAGGTAGGGCCGAGGTCTGGATCCCTAAGCAACAAGACATGAAGCTGAGATATTTACCCCATGGGAACGAGATATCAGCCCATGCCGCAATTGCAAGACGACATGATGCAATGCAATGAGGTACTTGGCAGCCGTGACCGGAGTTGCCCGGTCAGACCACAAGATAGACGGTGGTCCAATCCAGGTTTCGGGTCCAATGAGTTGGGAAGCCCTGATATAAATACATACTTGGCGGAACCCTTGTCCGTCGTAAGGCACGTGGTGTAAAGTATGAGCAGATCTGTCTTCTCATGAACCCTTGTTCACGAATTATATTGCCAAAAAGTCAAAATGACAGCGTCGAAGGATATCGTCGATCTCGTGGCCAAGGCCAATGCGCGTGGTCCAACATCTGGCTTCACAGACGTTGACGACGATGCAGAGGAGTTGCCGACCGAGTTTGATATTGAAAACGCTCAAGTGTTCAAACCTCTCAAGGTCGGTGATCTAACGCTTCGGCACCGAATAGTACACGCGGCGTTGGGCCGCTCTCGAGCCATCAACTCAGCTGAAAGCCCCTTGGCGATCAAGTACTTCGCGCAGCGCACAACGCCAGGCGCACTCATGATCTCCCAAGCCACTGGAGTCTCACTGGAGTCCAAAGCTTGGCCCTGGTCAGCAAACCTGGAGACAGAGGAGCAAAAGACTGCCGTCGCAAACATCGTTCAGGTTGTTCACGAGAAGGGCGGGTTCTGGTTCCAACAACTCACCCACGTAGGTCGGTGCACCTCACCAGGTCTTGTCAAGCTCGCTCGAAAGCAAATTGGCCTCAAGACCCCGCCTTACTACGGCTACCTTCCGGTTTCTGCGTCAGCTGTGGCCGAATCAGGAGTTAACACTCATTCTGGGGAACCATTCGGCGTCCCGCATGCCTTGACGGTTGAGGAGATTCAAGGCATAGTGTCAGACTTCAAGCGCGCTGCCACCCTGGCTACTAGCGCTGGTGCAGATGGAATAGAGGTATGTCAAAAATAGTCTCTCTAGTTGGGGATTGAAACTTGTGAAGCAACTCACCGAAGTTTTGGGTTCCTAACCTTGTCTGGGCTAGCTTCTCGCGGGAAACGGCTTCCTTTTGGACCAGTTTCTCCACGATAACATCAATCAACGTGAAGATCATTATGGCGGATCCGTCGAGAATAGAAGTCGATTTGTGCTGGAAATAGTCGATGCTGTTTCTGAAGTCGTCGGGTACCAACGTGTGGGAGTTCGTCTGAGCCCCTTTTCCAAGTGAGCCCACAGTCTATCTCTTTCTCTTCCCAATGCGTTAACATCCAGTTCACAGCTTCCACGAAACGGACGGCTCGCAACCCTTGGAGCAGTCGCTTCATCTCAGCCGTGAACTCGCGCAACGGGGCGTTGCATACCTTCATGTCGCCGAGGGCCGCGTGTCCCGTAACTTGGGGATTGCGGAAAATCTCGCAAGGCTCGCTGCCAAAGGCATCGCGCCAGAGCATGTTTCCCTGCGGCCATTCCGCCGTTTGCTAGCAGAGGTGAAACCTTCCAAACCCGAGTACACACCTACAGTCCTAGTCGGTAATGGAGGCTACACTGCCGCTTCGGGAATTCTGACTGTCGAAGAGAACCTGGCCGACGCCGTTTCGTATGGTCGACGCTTCATCTCGAACCCAGATCTTGTGCAGCGTCTTCGCCTGCGTAGACAGCTGACTCCTTATGACCGTAGCACATTCTATACCCACGGTGCTGAAGGATACACCTCCTACGGCGACTCGGAGACCTCCAAGGAAGACACGTCTCTGTCCGACAATCAACCAGCCCCCCAGGATGTCACTGCGTCTGAGGCCACCGAAGCCAATACAGACGAAAACCCGTTACAAGGGAATGCCCAATCGCAGGAACCCCGTCCTAAGCGTGTTGCTGTCATTGGTGCAGGAGTTAGTGGACTGGTCACAGCAGCTGCCTTCAACCGTCTTGGCGGGTTTGAACTGAAGATCTTCGAGCGCAAGAAAGTACCCGGCGGCGTCTGGGTCTACGACCCAGTGTCGACGACTGTCCCGCAGTTTCCGGCCCCTGAACCTTCGCAGATTGACCCTCCGCTACCGCGACCGGATATTGCTCTGCCTGGAGATGCGCCTCATTCCACATGCCAGCGTTTCCTTTCGTCTCCGATCTATGATTCTCTCGTGGCAAACATCCCATACAGCGTGATGGGAGGCACGACAGAGCTGACGCTTCCTCCCCCGGCCAACACTGAGAGCCAGTATCTGACCGCCCTCGAGGTGTCAGAATTCATCAGCAAGGCTGCCACGAAACACAATTACCTGATTCAGTACAACACCTCGGTCGAAGACGTCAGAAACCTTCCTCAGGGTGGTGTCAGATTGCTGCTGCGCAGAGAGAACGCCGGAGGCACCGACACCTGGTACGAGGAAGACTTTGACCACGTCGTTGTCGCCACAGGCCACAACAGCGTGCCTCGCGTCCCCGAGATCCCCGGGCTTGAGTCATGGAAGGGCGGTCTGCAGCACGCCGTGACCTGGCGCTCGGGAGAGGAGTTCAAAGACAAGACAATCCTCGTCATCGGCACCAGTGAGAGCGCCATCGATCTCGTGCTTCAGTCGTTGCCTCATGCCAAAGGTGACGTCCATGTCTCGCAGAGGACGCCGCACCCCCGTTATCCAACCATCTTCCAGCGTCCAGGCGTCAAGGTCGTCCAAACCATCGATCACTTCACCGAGGATGAGATCCACCTCGTTGACGGGACAGTGTTGCGCGACATTGATCACGTCGTGTTCGCCACGGGGTACTTTTACTCGTTCCCCTTCCTCGCCAATGTCCGCCCGCCCCTAGGCCCGGGAGGCCACCGTGTGCCTGGTCTGTATCAGCACATCTTCGACATCCACAACCCAAACACCATTGTCTTCGTCGGTGTGGTCAACGCGTCGCTGACATGGCTGACTTGGGAGAAGTCGGCCTTCCTAATCGCGCTCCTATGGTCGGGTAAAATTCACCTGCCGAGCAAGGAGATTCAGGAGAAATGGGAGCAAGACCGACTTGAGGAGAAGGGCGAGCGCTTGTTCCACATTCTGGATCTTCCTTATGAGCGCGTGTTATTCTTTGACGAGATCAACGAACTCGCGGCAGAATACCTGTCGCAGGAAGGGGCTGACGATACACTTCTGCGCGGGTTCCCGTTTGAGTTCATACTGGATCTTATTGCTGGTCGGCCAGCGAAACTCAAGCATTACGGAATCTCGGAGGATGTCGGTGGCAGGGGTGTTCCTGGTGCGACCGCCGTGATCCCTTACAGTGCTGATGTTGAGAACCGCGGTGGACGAACAAACACACCTACCTCAGCAGACTCTGGCGTGGATTTCGTCTCTGCTGAGACCAAATCGTTGGCGTTGGAGGATATAAATATCCAGCCAGTGCATCATCAAGTACAACAGGCACCGGCGGTGATCTCAGCGGCATAGTGGGCGATAATGCTGCAGCTGCAGGGTAGATAGCTAGAAATTGCGAATTTTCGACCGATTTCATACTGTGGGTGTTCCGACTGATGAGAATGCCTTCTGATAGCTCCTATTCTCCGTAAATAAGATCCTAGCACGCGATTTCCGACTAGTCATAGCAAAAACCTCGCGGTCGAGGTTGGCGACGTAAAGGTACTCGGCACTTACTCATCCAGCCGGGGCAGCTTGGTAGGAAGTACGTCGAAGTCGCAGAAATCCGTCAGCCTGACACCGGCAGAAGAATTTCGGAGGGCGGCATGGTATCGCGCTTCTCCGTTTCTGCGAACCGAGCACGCCAGCGTTCCAGTCATGCTATGGGTGATCAGTGCCAATCAAGGTATCGGGTCAATGAGCGACACACCCTGTTACCCCTGGGGATCGGCCGGCATGGCCCCAACGAGACTCGGGCCGAGTTCCGTGAGTGTCGTACGTGCCCACGAGAGTGGTTGGCGCCTGTCAGTGCGTGGCTAAGAGCAGAGTGAAGGGGTCTTCCACAAAGTCCGGAGGCAGTTGGAATATAGGCAACGTTGAGGGAACGTGAAGTCAATGGAATTCAGGTGACCATTCAAGTCGTTGTTGTCACCAAACTTGGGTGTCTAGTCATCGAGCAGCGCTAGAGAGACGACACCATCAGTCAAGGTAACCAGCAACGACTACTAACCAGCATAATCGACAGTACTGTTGTCGGCATGGTGTAGTGCCTTGAAAGCTGGCCTTGCCCCTGCTTCAAGGCAGGTGGTCGTTGGTTCGGATCCAACTGCTGGCGGCCCACATTGCGGGAGCCCGGCGTACCTGCCACGTCGTCAACCTTGGTACCTCCTCTAGGCTTGCCCTAGAACGAAAAATCCCCTGAGAAGTTTCGGATAGTATGTAGAGATATGAGTGATCAGTTGAATGTGTCGAGACTTAACGGCTCAGCCGAAAACCCCTCCTGAGTGCTGACGCTTGTTGGAGATGAACCCCCCCCCCAAATAGAGCAACTTACCCCCTGTAGATAAAGTATCTACTGAGCGTGCATTTACTTAGGGCGGCGTAGGCGTCTGTTTGCCTCTTATAGGATTTGCCCCCTTCGGGAGTTCGGACGTGACATATATCACCACCATCATCGACAGTACTGCTTCGTTCAAGCTCGCACTGTCGGGTGCAAACCGTTGGTAAAGCAGCAAGGAGTATTCCTGAGGACCGCTGACATAGACCCGCACGTCAGAAACCTGACATAATTCCTTGAGTAGCGGGACCCTCGTCATGAAGTATGACGAAAGAGGTACTCCGGCGGTCATGTCACTTGACTGCAGTAACCATTGTGAGTTGAGTCCTATCAATCGGAAGTACTTGCTGAGATGACCTGACTATATGGTCATTCCCGTTCCCGCACCTCGCTTACCAGGCCATGCCCAAAAGACCAAGCTCGAAGGGACGACTTTCAATGCAACTCTGGCCAACTCATGACTGTTAACGGCCATCTCCATCGCGACTGAGAGTCGTGTTGAATCTGCACGAGCTGGACTTTGATTTGCGTGTCAATAGCTGCCTGGATACAGTATCCGGAAGCCAAATCACATGTTTGAGACCTGTCTCTCGGGTCCGTCTCAACACTAATGAAAGACAGCAGGTCCGTGGATGCACGCCTGAGCCCCTCTGGATGCAGTACAACATCGTGTGAACGCTCCCGTTCTCTCGGACATAAGCGCGAGGCATACGCGATGTGAAGAGCACGCCTGTCTCAATGAACACTCACGTCAACGGACAATCAGCCGTCTTCAAGAGGCAGGGCTTGGCAGTGTGCCCGCTTAAGCCATTGGAGATTACATCACAATCTACATTCATCCTTACAATACGAACTTCGATGATGGCCGAGCAGCAAAGTGAGCCTCGACAGCATGCATTTGTACAGCCACGCTGAGTGCAAGTGACTCACTCGAGCGGATCATCCACCTCGTAATACGTCCTATGCCCTTCGCACCGAACCTGTCTCTGAGTCTGATACTTTGGTCGACGCATCAGGGGGGATGGCACATCAGATTGTGAACCAAACATCGTCAAGGATATTGTTCAAGTGAAGCATCCTCACACCCACACGCCCTTACACGGCGTGCTGCAACAGCTTAACACTACCTAATGGGTAGGAGTAGGTTTGCCAACAGAGGCATCGTGGCAACCGCAAGCTATGACAAGGTCAGATGATCAGCGGACGCCAGTTCATCAGACAAGGGCGGGGGTTTGCTTACCGTTGTACGCAGCGTCGTGGACGGCGTAGCCGGTGTCGTAGTCGCAGAACTCGGGCAGGCAGGTGGCGATCGCCCAGGCCATGACGCTGAAACCGGTGTACTCGCATTGGCAGGAGAGATCATCGATCTCGCAGTTGGCGGCCGGCGGCGCCCTGGGTCCAGCAGGCGGCGGCGCAGGCGGGCATGGTGCTGGTGGCATAGGCCTCGCACGAGGTGGCCTCGGAGGTCGGGTGGACGGTGATGCGGGCGCGGGGGCTGGTGGTCCAGACCGGGATGCCGAAGCAGTCGCAGGCCGAGGCGTAGGCCGCACCGTCGCGGCAGGACGAGGCATAGGCGGGGACCGTGGCGGTGGGGGCATCCTGACGCTCCTCGACGGCGAAGGCCCTGCTCGGCGATGTCGGCGGGGCAGTCGGTGGGCTCAGCGTCGCTGGTGGTCCAGACGACCTTAGTGATGGTGCTACGGCGAGGTCAGCCATGGGCATGCCTACGTGGCGGTTACCTCGGGCACACTTACCGAGGAGGACGGCTGGAAACCACCTTCTGGAATTCGGAGCAGTCGGGCCTGCGGGACTCCAGGGGCAGGAGTCCGGCACGGGTGCCGGTGACCTGACGGTTGCAGTTGTTGCCGGCACAGGCGCGCTCCTCGAGGGCAGCGCCCAGGGCCAGGGAGACGAGGGAGAGAATAGTAGCAGCCTTCATGTTGGATGTTGAGGTGGCTATCTAACAAATAGATGAGATCAGGCTTGATTGTAGTGCTTCTCTGTCGATCGGTGCAGGATGAGGAGGACAGACAGAGCAGGTTTCGCGGGGCTCCTGGGCCTCCCTTATGTAGACGGCAACCCGGTCTCGCCTGGACATGGCAGCAGACATCGCGGCTCAACATGGCATTGAGTCCTCGCCAGGCACCGGCGGTAGAACGAGGTGAGCCATTTTGTGCAATCCAGGCCCGGGTACACCCTGCCCCATGGGCGCGCTCGCAGTAGCTCAGGCCATCCGACTACGACTCACGCCTGCTGCCAAGGAGACGTAGTTGCCAAATACTATGTGAAGCCCCGGTAGCGGCGCTCAGGGTGCATCACAACATGCAGTTAGGATATGAGCCAAGGTTGCCGGGCTGCGTGCTAAGCCACCGCATCCCGCCTTCACCAACGCGAGAAGAGTTTTTCCAGTCGTATGACTGTCAACAGGGTTGAAGCGCTACTTGGTTGCTGTCCCTGAGCCTTGGCGTCGGCTAGCTTTGTATGGGGGCTGATCTTATCTGATGCAACTCTGATCTGGGCCGCCAATCAGACACAGGCACTGGGTCGTGTTGCGGGGGAGGCTTTTCTCAGGCAGCTGGATATGGCTTGACGATGACCCCGAAAGCCGCGTCAGTGCTGCTATGCTGCATTCCATTTCGACAGAGAGCACCGAAGAAACAAGTGCTATGGAAGGCCGCGCTTTGGCAGGCCAAGGAGATCGTGGCCATGCAATGGCCCAAAGAACACATGCTGATCACAGCACTGTCTGGCGAATGTGAGAACCGAAGGACCCCGATCCCGTTTGGTCGGATAAGCTAGTGCTAGTACCACTTCTAACTTTGAAGCTAGGTGAACAAGCCGTTTCTTGGCTTTGGGGCCTGGCTGTTGCAGTCATTTCCTGCACACTAAGCGATGACAGAGCAGGCATGCTTAATTCTTGGCATGGTTTGGATTTCCTAGTCCGCGGGGTGACATGCCAGCTCAGGGACCGGCGTAAGCAGTTGAGGCGATTTTCAGAGAGGAATTGGTGCTCCCTGGAAAGGACTTCTTGCGTTTTTGTGTCGTCACTAGGAAGCAGACCATTTGAAACTTCAATTCGATATCAGGCACCATGACGTTGCTTCCAGTCAATCTTCCTTCGCCTTGCCTCGTGTGTTCATGATGACGGGCATTGCTTCGGGTTGAGCACGGAGTGATGGGTCGGGGTTTTCGGTGGTCTTGAAGGAGTAAGAAAGCTCCATCCTGGTCACAATCAGGCTGTCGAATGAAGATTGAGCTGAGCGAAACCCACGCAACCGAGCCGACGATCGAGTCGCTGCAGAGGAGATTCGGCTCAGTTTGATACACTGAGAGCGCTTGACTAAGTAGGTAAGGAGAAAGACATACTGGAACGCGCTTCCATTTGTCACTAGTCCAGCCCATGAAGATCCACGGTCAGTCACGATTGTGGTTGTTATCGGTTTCGAGCGTGAGCCTGGTGATGGTCAGGACTCAGGTTGTCAGGGGCACTTCGGGGCCAGCTGGAGCCAGATGCGCAGCAGGGATCCCGCAGTTGATCCAAGGGCAGTCTTAGAAAAGTAGACGGCCTAGGCCCATCCATCAGCTGGTGGCCATAGTTAAGCTTGTCTCTCGTCGACGTCTTCGAACTACAATGCTGTGGCGCGCCGCTGTTGAACTCTTATCCCGCAGTCCATCTCATCAATGCCACCAGGTCGATAGCTGTTGGGAAGGCACATTTCACTCTACCACGCGACAACCCTTAACACACAGCTCGGCACACTTACAATAACGGCCTCCAACGGCCTTGGGGTAAGGTGAGATCGCGGCCAGCTTGAATGCATTGGGCGTGTGCGCACTTGAGAGTCCACCACTTCGCGACAAGCTGTCTCTGTCGAGGGCAAGTTCTGCTTCAGCTGCCCAGTCACACCGAAGTTACCAAATTCACACGCTCCCTGGAGCCGAAAGCGGCTTGTGATTGCCTTTTGTGGTAATGCCGAGATGGGCTAAAGCATGCCCAAGGAGGACACCAACGAGCAAGATCCAAGTCGCCGGGAAGGGGTGATCGCTGGCAGGGACAAATCGCTGCCTGGGATATGTTGCTGCTGGGGGAAATTCGCCGCCTATCTAGGACATAGCGCTGATTGCTTCTTGAGACCGATCGCTTGGCAGGTCGTTCCATAGAACCGCAACCTCGTCGTCATAGAGGTCCAAATGCCACCCAGTGGCAAGGGACACGTGTTCCCTTCCTTGAGTCTCTCCTTGGTCTCGATGTTGAGTCTCAATGATGACCCCGCCGTCAGCATTCGTTTCCGCCAAGGTTCTTCGTCTCGTCCATGATGGTTTTGAGCATCAGCCGTTTCGTCGACTGGAACATCTTCATAGTGGCATTCGTCGTCACTGTTGTCGCTGACGCCGTCGTCACTAATCCAGATAACGTCGTGGACGGAAACAGCTGGGTAGTTTGCTTGAGAAAGCCCGAGTAGACCATGATGGCTGGATCTGGCGAGTAGAGAAGGGGAAGTGGGAAGAGATGGGAGAAGTGGGACCTTTGCCAGCAATGAGAAGGGCAGCGCAGAGCCCTTGTATACCCAAGAGCTGGTCGAGGAGCATAAGCGTGCTCGGATATAAATACCTTCAAGATATATACCCAGGCTATAGGACGTAGATACAGCATATAAATGTATAACTTCAAGATATACACTCAAGCTATAGGACATAGACTCAGCACATATATGAGTAGCTTCAAGATGTGTGCTCAGGCTACAGGATGCAGACATAGCATATACATGAGCACCTTCAAGATGTTTCCCCAGGACATAGGGCATAGACATAGTATATACATGAGCAGCTTCAAGATTCAACAGCGCATCATAGTCAACTCTACCGTGGTCATTCGATAGAAGTATTTCTTCGCAGCCTCTCGAGGACGAGTCGCGAAACAGGGATAGCTTTCAATGGCAATTCAGCTCACCTGGCCTAACCATATGTGATCGGTACGGAGGATCCATCAAGCACAAGATTCGAGTTGTGCGACAAAGCGCGTAAGGCTACGGCTTTGTGACGACGAAAGCCCCCCCCAGCTTTCCGCTTCCGATCCTTTGGAGATCGGCCCTGCGCCGAGGCCAACCACTTCTTCCCAGGACACCTGGCCCACGTTAAGGCCGTTGGCCGTGGTCACACCGCGATCCCAAGCACCGAAACCGTCTTGGCCATCGAGCTCGGCCTCATCAACGGGACGCTCACTCTGGCCCAGCCAATTCGGAGTCCAGTTTGAGCCTTATCAACACGGAGGCGAACGTGAACCCATACTCTGCACATCAGAACTCATGTTCCCTCATAGTTCGGGGATGGGCAAAACCCGGCCCAGAGCTCGGGCGCTGCTGTCCCGCTGCCCGCCTCACCTTGCGAGCTTCTCCGCCCTTCGAGCCAGCCGTCTCCGACAGAGCAAAGAGACGAATACAACTGCCGAGCAGCGGAACAATCACAAGTCGACGTCCAACCACATGGGCCAATTCTATGCCGCAGACCTCGCAGCGCAGTTGCCCCAAGCCCATAAGAGACCTACCCCGGGACGGGGATGCACCACGTGCCCTGCATGGGCTTTGACTCCGACCACTCAAAGACGTCAGTGATGCACGTCGCGATGCCCGCGCGGTTCGTGCGCTCTGCATCGGGGGCTCTGCCCCGCTTGAGGCTCTTGATTGAGGATGAACGCCGAGGGGAGGTTACATTCGGCATTGGTCACGCCGGCACCCCCCCCATCGACGTGATCGACATCAGGCTTACCTTGGCAATCGTGGGGTAAATTGGGTCAGCTTGTCAACTTTATCCTCACCCACCCCTTTCAAGTGGGAGGAGCCCTTTCGTGGGAGGAGCCCTTTCGTGGGAGGAGCCCTTTCGTGGGAGGAGGGGTAGCAGGGGGAGCTCTGGCGGGTAGGCTGACGAGCCAAGAACAAATTACCCACGATGCTGTGTCTCGTGTGGCGCGAGGCGAAGATTCCTTTCAAGACACTTCCTTGTTCCGTTGACTTGGATCTGAGACCGTGTCTCAGAGGCACATTCCGATCTCGAATCCGCTACAGAACCCACGGAAAACCAGGTCGAGACGAACACAGACAGGTTTCTGCGCGAGGTCGGCGACGGGATACGCGGCGGGAAAGAGGGGAAGGTTCACACGGAGCCGGGCCAAGTGCCTCGAAGAAGCAACTGGCTATGCAAGACGCCGACGATGGGCTGGCGCGGGGTCGACCTGACCAGGTTTTGTTTTCCCATGTGAAAGTGAACGAGATGCTGCCGAGACATGTAGAAAATGTATAAAATGACAAGGGGAAAAGGGGGGCTGAGGGCTCTTGAAAGCTTGGGTAGAAGCATCAGTCAAGCCGTCTCCATCTCTCGACAACTCATCCTGCCCTCCAAGCCTCTCAGACTTCCCGGTTCTGTCACCTCCAAAGATGAAGTTCACTCAGGTTCTGGTCGCTCTCGCTGCGACTCGTGGCGCCCTCTCTGCTCCCGTCGAGCTTGAGTCGCTCGCGGTTGCTGACGAGGCCTTCCCTCTTGCCGAGCTCCAGGCGTACTACGAGAAAGAGTTCTCCAAGACCGAAGACGTCGAGACGACCATCAAGGCGAGGCAATACGCCTCGGCCACCTCGAACCAGCTCATCGACGGCACCCCCTGCCGCAGGGTCACCCTCATCTATGCCAGGGGCACGACCCAGGACGGCAACGTCGGTGACGCGGCGGCCGTCGGCCCCGTCTTCTTCAATGCCCTCGCTCAGCAGGGTGGCCGCCCGCCAATTTGGCCGTCCAGGGCGTGGACTACGCGGCCAACGTCTTCGGTTTCCTCGCCGGAGGGGGTGTGGCTGGCAGCAGGACCATGGCCGATCTCACCGCCAGGGTAAGTCCCGTGTCTCGATGCAAGTGAACCGACAGACGGCTGACTGTGCACCAGGCTGCGAGCCAGTGCCCCAACACGCGGATCGTCCTCAGCGGCTACAGCCAGGGCGCCCAGCTCGTCCACAATGCTGCCGAGCAGATCAGCGCTGCTGTCACCGCCAGGGTCACCGCCGGTACGCATGACGCATCTCCTGTTCCGATGGGCTGTGTACTGACATGTTCTGTTGTAGTCTTGACTTTCGGCGACCCCGACCGCGATGAGGCCTTTGGCTCTATCCCTGCTGCCAGGACGCGTGTGATCTGCAGGTCCGGTGACAACATCTGCGATGGTGGCATCATCGTCACGTCTCCCCACCGCCAGTACCAGCCGGAAGCTCCCGGGGCCGGCACCTGGGGTGCCTGCCAGAGTTCCAGTGATGGAGATGCCGGGGACTGGCTTTCTAGGCAGTGTCTTCCAGGAGTCAGAACAGGGTCTGATCATTAAAGTATCGAGGGTTGAAGGCGGCGCTTTGCCTTGCTATTTGCCGTTGCCCGTTGTTTTCTTTCATGTCCACCAAAACAAAGCAGATTCCTGGTTTTGTGTTAATTTGGAGATAGGATTATTCTGGAGACGCCGTAGCGGCCACTTGGAATTTCTGGTTCCCGCATGCTCGTCTCGCCTTGGGATTTCAGCAGCTGCCTTCCTGAAAGCCGCTCCAACGCTAGAACTCGAGGTGTGCCACGCACAAGCCGAGGCTTCAGCGGGCGGAGGTGATCGAAATCATGACGAAGGTATAGGAAAGCCTGCCCTTCTGCTCAGTCAGCGGAGGCACGAGACAGAGCTTGTCTGGATGTTCGTTTCAACAACAGGAAACGCCCCACGAGGACCGTGGCCAACCTGGTCAGACTGTCGGGAGGTATCTCTCGTCAGTCAGCTGGCGCTCTAGAGACAAGTAGCGGGGGCTGTACAAAGCGATGTGACGACCTAAATCTAGCGAGAATGGACGATGGATATGGTATCTGTACCATGTAGGGACATGTGTGAGTAAGGTATGCGTCCTGGTCTTGACCTTCTGGAGCATCGCTAGTGGGTGTGTTGCTTAGTCATCGGGGATGCAGCCTTCCATCGACGGAGTGTACCAGGTAGCCTGTCAGACTCAGACGAGAAAGAGTCAGCTTGTTCGCGCTGTGAATGGCGGCGCACTCGGCCCACGCCAGAGGCCCTCGTGCGGAGCCGAGACCTCTGTTCGGGATTTGACCGCCGGCTTTTGAAGCGAATTCGCATCGTGGCGGACGCCCCATAATGGGAAATAGCGTTCAAGGGATTGGCCGTCGCGGTGGGACACGGAAGGCGGCGACGTCCATCTCGTCAGCCGCCTCGGTGTCCACCAGGGTGCATGGACAGACAGATTCACGTTGGCGAGAGAGAAACGCTGCACATCGAGTGAATAGGCAGAAAGAACGAGATATAAAGCACGATGCAGTCGGCTGACAGATTTACAGCTTTGAGTCGAATGCCGACTAGACGCATGACCTGCGTTCAAAGCCCGATAGTTCTGGTCTCGGGACTACGGACGGGCAGAGGGAATGGAAAGATGGTCTGATAGGGAACGGTGGCCAAAGGGGCAATTTATGGAGACGCCAGAAGCACAGTTTGCCGTCTCGGCTCGGTGGTTCGGCCTGTGGTGCATCAGTGTCAGATTCAGTGGAGCCGGCGCACTGATAAGGGGGGGGGGGGGCGTAGGGGGCTTGGAGGGGCACTTCCAGGCGCCCGGGGGTTTCTCCCCCCGTAAGGTAGGTAGGTAGGCAAGGTAGGTTAGGAGTGGCGTGAGCTCAGGGGTAGGCGGGAGTCGAGAAGCCGCCCCAACGCGATGGACGTCATTCGTCATGGCGCGGGCGCTGACAGGCGTTGCGTGCCACTGAGTGACCGCATTGGGCCTGGCGACATTTTGGCTTGTGATGGCGCAGGGCATCTGGGTGGCATGGTGCCCGGGAGGACCCTGACTGGGTGGAAGTCTCTTTGATAAGACATTCGGACGAGGCTCGCGTCAGAGACTGTACGCTTCTGACGCTGCCCGATCGAAGTCGTTGCTGGCGGAGGCAAGAAGCAAAAGAAAGGAAACATGACAAATAGACGTCTCTCGGACGAATAACGGACTCTCTGATGAGGAACGGAGGTCTAGCCTCATCGTCTTCCTCTGATGAGTAACGGAACTCGTCTGTGTAAAGTGGCTCCACCGGGAAGTTTTTCCCACATCGTCGAGTCGCGTTCTTTCGCTCCCTCCACTTTTCGACTTATCTGATGGAGTCGAATCCCGAACATGGACCACTCAGGAGGCGCCAATTAGGCATTCGAGGACCGTTATCCTCGTGCGGCTTTCCAGTTTTCGTTCGAGAACGCGCTGTACCTGCACAAGCACCGTCTGCCGGCATCTGACCCTTGGGAGGGCCCAGGTAAAAAGGGCTAGGGAGGGCCGTCTGCCGTGGATGACCGTTGCGGGAGGAACGTTCGAGATTTCTTCTGTCACCGATTCGCCTTCCTCTTGGCTTCCTACTTGACCTTCGTCTTCCCTGTCGACCCTCCTTCTTTCTCCTCTGACCCTTCCCTTCCTTCCCTTCCTACTCCCACACACTCTCTTCACAACCCATCGTGAACTGGTTTTTTTTTTGGTGTCCATCTTACAAACACAAGAACCCTACAAGGTACGTTGCCTACCGACACGAGCCCACCCCCCTTTCCCCCACTATTCACACGCTGACCAGACCACACCAGATGGCTGCCAACACGACCCGTCAGTTCGCCCGCACGGCGCTGCGCTCCTCCACACGTACCGCCTTCGCCGCTGCGCCCCGCCAGGCCTTCCGCCAGGGCCACCGTTTCTACTCTTCCGAGGCCCCCAAGGCTGCCGGCCCCAACTGGGCTCTGCTGTCTGGCCTCGCCGTCGCCGGTGCCGGTGGCGCCTACTTCTTCACCCGCGAGGGCGGCGTCTCGGCCGGCTCGGTGCCCAAGGTCGTCAACCCCACCAAGAAGGACTACCAGGACGTCTACAACGAGATCGCCTCGCGCCTCGAGGAGAAGGACGACTACGACGACGGCAGCTACGGCCCCGTCCTCGTGCGCCTCGCGTGGCACGCCAGCGGCACCTACGACAAGGAGACGGGCACGGGCGGCAGCAACGGCGCGACGATGCGCTTCGCCCCCGAGGGCGACCACGGCGCCAACGCCGGGCCTGAAGGCGGCGCGCGACTTCCTCGCGCCCGTCAAGGCCAAGTTCCCCTTGATCACCTTACTCGGACCTCTGGATCCTCGGCGG